CCTTCTTCCCTGTGCGCGTGTGTTTGTGCCATCCTCCTCTTTTAGCCTACAACCTAGTTAATTATTACCCGAGATGGTTAGCCATTTTACAGATAACGGCAACCCTTCTTGCAGCTAGAATATTAATCAAACTACAGCATTGAGAGAACGCCCCACAGTATACTACTCCGGTTGGTCAACTTTTCAAGTGGTCAGATAGGGGGGGAGAGCTTCATTTCTGTCGCGCTCTTTTATTGTCCTTTTCCTTCCTTTTGTCTGTGTTTCTGCATCTGCCTACTCTCCTCAGTTTTATATCTAAGTGGTGGAATTCTGGTTTGTGTCCATCAGAGGAACCGACTAATTTGTGACAAGTTTAGACCTGGTCTTCGTTTTAGGTCAGCCATTGTGTACACGCACATATTCAGTCCCCTGAACACAATCTCTTCGTTGCTACGTCTCTGTTTCTAAAATAAAAAAGGAAAGTCGATATCCCCATCTCACCTGATCTCAGTTGCAACTGGTTCGTTGCAGTCTTAGCAGCGGGGTGGGATTAAATAGAGAGAAAGAGGGGGAGAAACAAACGAAAGGTAAAGGTAAACCGATCGTGAGCGAAATTTTCTCATGAGAAAAGCTGTACGCGCCTTTTAATTATCCTTACACGATAAAAGCTGTGGCTTCTAAGTTTGCCAACCTATAGACTAGTCAGTCATCGGTCAAATTGAGAGTCATGCTGCAGTCGTTGGAGACTGATGTGCTGGCTGAATGAACATAGCGTTTTACAGCAACATCGATCAGATTTATGTCGATAGATGGTCAACACGTCGTCTTTACCACTTCCTGGAGCTGTGCACACAAATTGATGAACCTCGATTATATAACCGCGTTTTTTTATGCTCATTCGGTAGCCCTCTTACGTGATATTATCACTGTTATAAGAAAACGGAAACAAGGATGCCATTTTCCACCGAAGCATGTTGGTTGTGGGGCGAGAATAAAGGTCACATGATACGGTATTATGGAAGAGCGGCACTGGGCTCTGGGGAATAAAGCTAGCTGTTTAGGTTTTTGTCGAAGCTACAATAATGCGCGCTGTCCTCGGACCAGCGTCCAAACTTACGTGCTTTTTCAGTAGTAAAGTCGTCACTTAAATCCGAGTGGAGTTATTGGATAAGAAGGACCGCTAACGGACTGAATGAATATGAGTGTTTTATGTAAGTCACCACTTCCCTTCCATAGTCTCTCCAGTTACCCTGAACCAACGTTGCCACCTTTTTGGGATTTTGCATTTGGCATTATCAGTGTGATTATCCATATCGAGTTGTCTGGACAGAGGGCCGTTGGTTTCTTGGATTGATTTTGTTACTTTACCGCGTCTGAATCAATCAGAGCCTTCTTTCCGTTTCTTTTGGACAGAAAGTATCAGTAATGTTTCTGTAACGTGTCTTCTCCTTTGTTTTTGTTTGAAGCGGGATCTTAGGTATTTTGAGTTTCAGTTATATGAGGCCTGGATCTTCATGTCTGGGCTTTACTTGAAGTTGGGGACGATAATTTTCGGAGATTTGCTTTGCTTGTGCATTCTTGAAGCATCTTTTTTCAACAGCTCAGTACTCCTACCAAAGTGGAATCCTAATGACATTGTCGATCACAATATAGACTATTACTGAAAAACAAACGTGTTTGCTTGAAGTTTAGCCTTCGCACTCAAACCACTCATCGGAAGCGGCAACAAAGAAAAGTATTAAACACACAGGGGTAGTAATATTTATAGGATGTGGTTGCTGTATGATTGCACACCTAATAAAATTGGCAGCTGTCACACTAATTGTATTCATTAGGCAAGTCGCACGCGGAATTTCGTCATCAGTGTTGGTTACTGGTGTGATAATTACTCACTAATTCGGATCAGTGATACTGTCACTGGAAGCATTGTTCACTCGCGCTCACCCCGTCTGACTAGTTTATCCACGCAAGAGTGAATGAGGTCATTGCAATCGTTGGTGGACTTAGGACAGAAGAGCCATGACTCAAATAACTGAGACGACGTACTGTTTTCACCTTATGCGAGAATGTAGGCCTCATCAAACTACAAAGGGTGTCGTTTTCGTCGAGCGAACCGCAACTTGAGAGTTGACATCTTTCTATCTGGTTGTGAGTGCGTGTTCAGTCATCCGAGTAACCGTTCATCTTTTAATTTCTTCGGAGTAGCTACCGTCTCCACAACTGGGCCAAATCGGATCTTGTTCTGTCCACACTTCTTTCGCATCCTTTAGAGGTGCTTAGTCACGCAAGGGAAACATTCCACCGCTTTGTTCTTCTGGATCTCGCTGATACTATCATCGGTTTCAACCCGCCAGTTTTTTTACAATCTCCTTTTTATTTGACTACGTGTTATTAGGGCTTGGCACAGCCCAGATCGTCGCGTTATTCTGCCAAATTGGCACGGTCTCATCGGTTTTCCTCGGAAGTTGCTTGCTTGCCGCATACTGTGCCATGACTTGCTACTCATTGCTTATTTTGGACAGTGTGTGATGTCAGTTTGAATTTGACCAATCACTTTTCAGTCTAATCTTCGCCTGACTCTAGTGGCCCCTCAAGCACTGGACTCCCCTCTTTGTTTGATTGCACAGGCATCTTAGTAGAAGTGATTAGATCCAACCAACGCTGGTTTTTCCGAGAAAAAAATCAGAACTCATGAAAGTAGTCTCAGTGCTGTAGACTATTGATGGTCGCTTTGCGGACGGTATGCTGTTTTTGTACTCCCTCCCATGCTTTGGTAATCAATTTCGACTCTGCTAAGCTTTGGC